GGATAAGCAGGACTTTCAAATGCATAGCCCAGTAGTATGTTCAATATGATTGCAGGAGAGGCAGAATCTAGTCGGGGGTGGAGGAGGAAGGGAGATATATAGAGGGAACAAAAGTACTAGTACCTTTACGGTTTCTGAATTCTGAATCACATGCTATCATAATTTAAGTCGGTCACCAAGTGTTGAACTGCTGCTCTATTTACAAAATGAAAAAAAAAAAAAACTTCATAAGGAGAAGTTAGATATCTTACTTTTGTCTTACAGAGTTCATGACTTTGGCATACTCAGATACAGCAGCAGGATCTTCTGGATCTATGGTGATCTTCTCCTTTCGTAGGACACCAATTGCTGTCTCAAGCTTGTTCTTAACCTCGTAAAAGATGTCCTTCAACACCTCTTCATATCCACACAAAAAGTCAGGGTCACCGCAATGCAACAGTACCCAGATTCAAACCACATTATGATAGTAGAAGTCAATTTGAAGGCCAGAATAAATCCAACATACCATTTCCAAGACAGACAAAACTATTAGGTTAGTGACAAGACTCTAACAGGACACTTATGATCAAGGCCTAACGAGAAAAACATTATAGCACTTCTTAGACACTAATATTTTCTGGCACAAGATTGCCCTAGTTAGTCGAAATAAAGAAGTCACTATGAAATAGTTGTAAGTCACTCTCTAGAACATCAGCATAAATACAGATCAAGATAAGTTATCTGAAAGCATACACCCTATCATTTGAGAGACAAGTGAATTAGGCACCAGGAGCAAACTCAAACTCTATATTTGTCTTGAAAACACCAGTATCAAAGTTTCTTATGAGTATATTATCTCCAAATTGGTTCATCCTAAAATAAATGTTAAGATCTTGTGCCTTCCTGTGAAGACATTAAACAGTAATGTTGCCAACTAATGTCTATGCCAACTGGGATCCATCACCTATCTAGAGCATAAGTAAAACTATTTTTTTGAAATACAAAGCATTGAACTCTCTTAAAGCTAAATGCTTACTTCATCTTTTCAGTTGGACCAAGTTGTCCCCAGTAATTAGCACTGGACAGTTTTTGGATTTTGTTAGTACTCGTCTTAGATTGACTTTTTGTATAGGAGCTACCTACACTCTTTTATCTTTTGTCTCTTGTAATTATGCTCCTAATAACTTTGCATCTTCTTGATGCCTTATTAATGAACACAGTTACTTCATCAAAAAGGAAAAGAAAGGCTCGCATACATTTAATAAAAAGGAAAAGCCAGAGGCTTATTACAAAAGTAAAGGAACTTTTATGCATAAAAATGATGGTGTTGCCTGCAGTACTTACTCAGAAAGAAAAAATAAGAGTAGAAACATCCATATATAGCCTGTCAGCCATAATTCCGTCCTTATTTTAGTCTTGTTTATGCTATTAAATGTAGGTTAAAACAATGAAGTTACACAAAACAAAATAACATAATCACTGCATAAGGAGAAGGCTGCGAATAATTTTTTGATTATTTCTTCAAAGTTAATTGAACAGATCTTCTGATACACAGACAAAGATAAATGAAAAGCAAAAAGTGGGATGCATAGAAGGAAAAAAAAGGCTTTAAAGTGTTTCAACACATTTGTAGTATAAAAAACTGAAAAGGAAATTAAGTCCGCAAACAGAAACAGAGTCATCAAGTTTCAATAAAGCATATCCTGAAATACTTACGATCTCCCTTCAGTGCAGTGGGAGCAGCAGCTCCTTTGGCAAAGGAACGAACTGGAATTGCATGCTCGGGGCGAAGGACAACCTGACCAGCACATAACTGCAAAACCAGAATTATCAATAAGAGTAGACATTTCAACCAAGTACAAACTGCACCAGCATATTCAATCACATACACATCCCACAATACCACAAATTCTGCTTTAGACCTATATGGAACCTAACAGCTCAAAGACACGAGCAAAGGCCATGTAGCCTAAATTACTCAACAGTTAAATGACGATATTCAGTACCAGCCACTTCCTAAGTGGCATGCTATTCAATAAAACAAATACATTGGCAACGGCAGGAAAACCAAAGTCAACTCCCAAGTGATAATTGACTCAAAGAATCTCCCCCCACAAGAAAAAATACAAGGTCAGCCCAATGCACAAAGCATCTGGCGTTCATGCACGGTCCATGGAAGAGCCGCACCCCAAGGAGTTGTAATGTAAGCAGCCTACCCTGATGCAAGCATGACTCCACGGCTCGAAACCGCGAACTACATGGAGATAACTTTATTGTTGCTCCAAGGCTCGGAAAAGACACAAGAGGAAAAACAAAACAAAAATAGATAATCTCAGGCCAAAGTAATTTCCCAAAAAGCAAAAAAGGGCAGCTATTATCAACCAAGCAAGGACATTTCTATCAAACCAAATCATTCAATCAATCAAATGTCTATCTTAAGCAGGCAAATACAATCCCTATGGAGCCTAAAAATGTACCTAATCCTAAACTCTAAAGAATACATAATTTCTCTCGGTCTTTTTCAGACACCGATAAAAGAAACCCTAGCTCAATCACTTTCACAAGTTTTAAGTCAATTGCATTTCATGTGCAAAATGCATATCTCACTAAAACAAAACTAAATTCAGTTCAATTAGCATTCAAATCAACTATGATGCAGTCTTCTAAGCACATCAAGAAAGAGAAAATAAATTTTAAGCCGCAATCAGATCAAAGAAATGATGAAACTCAAACATTTTGTTACAATTTAGGCTTTTTCAAGTTGTACTAAGAATTCATGTAATGATTTCACTGGTGGAATTGCTAATCCAACGGATAGGGGATGGAGTTATTTCGGTTCACCCGCAAGTGCTTACCCTAACCAGGTTCCATGTGCTTATCAGATTGACAATAACAATCCGGGTTTCTGTTTCGTTCAATTCTATGATTTTCGGTGGTATCAATGACTGCTGCTAGGTTAGATACCTTGCTGAACTCTGCTGCTAAGTATGTGGAGACTAATTGCTCACAGACGGATTTTCAATCACTTAAAACACCTCTAGACTCAATGGGTGGAATCGAAATGGGTTATGATCAATTGGAGACTGGTTACCTTGCAATGGAAGATAAAGATTCAGAAATGGAACGTACAGAAAATAATGAAGATAAGGTGTTTGACAAATTGCCACAACCGCTGGCACTGTCGAACGCCACCACTGATTTTCTGGAAGTTAACGGTGAAGATGTGGAGGAGAAAAAATCAGAGGAAGACCAGATATTTGATGAAAGTTCTCACACAAATAGAACTCTGGAAATTAGCCCCGATGAGATCACAATTCCATTTTCCACCAACTACGTGCTTGCCTTTACCATTGAAGACCAAAATTCTTTGAAAGTAGATGAGGAAGGTGAGAAAAAGACTGAATCGTAACACATTTTCCGCATAAAAAATTTAGAGATTAGATTAGATCGATTTTACCTGGCGAGTGGATCTGGAAAGCAAGCGAGAAGCGAGAGCCATTTGATGAGATTAGGGCTTTTGTCTCTATCTGAGTGTTGAAAAGCTCTGTGTTGGGTTGGGGAGCCTTTTGATCTTGACCTAGTACTGCTGCTTCATTTCAGGTTTCGAGGACGAGGCTAGGGCTTTTATTACGACGACGTTTTCGAACTCCGTCTTTTATGGGAATATTGTTTTTCCTCCTCGATACTTTTTGTCTTTGTTTCAGATTTGCACCTAAACTTTTAATCCTTTCATTTGTTTTTCGGAAAAGGGCCAAAAATACCCCTATCGTATAGTAAATGGTTTATAAAAGCTCTCTGTCCATCTATCCGTCTGAAAATATATAGGACGTTATTCTAATATCAAATCTACCCCCGCGACTAACGGAATTCCATGTGTGCATCTCATTAACTGATGTGGCCTTATTTCATTTGTCCATGTGGATCAGTGGGGCCCACATTATCTTTGGGTATTTTTTTACACATTAAACCGATCCGACCCATTTCTTTTACCTATGGGTCAGTCTTTTAACCCTAAACCCACCGATAAAATACTTACTTTTTACCATTTCTTCTATCTAAACTATCAATGGCGATTTTAGGGCTTCGTTAAGGTTCATTGTCTGGTCCGATTTGGTGGTGCACTCAAAACAGGAAGACCTTTGATTTCCAGCGATATCTTGCATTATTATTCGATTAAAGTAAGTATTTACAGCTTAAAGTTATTAAATTGTAGGGTTGGGGAATATTTGGGAACTTGACAGGTTTATGTCTGCTGCATGTGATATTTTTATGCTTTCTGAGCTAGTCTTTTGTACCTTTCTAGAATTTTTTATGTTACTTTTATTTTTGGTGGTCCTTATCGTATTGGTCCTACATATTAAAGTTATGGTTTTTGTCGATTTGTATATTTAATTGATGGTGGGGTTTCATATCTTTATATTTTTACTGTCGCTTTGTATTATACTGCTAATGTGGTCCCATTTTGCCCTTTTTTTATTGTTGTTGCATGTGATTTTATCAGAAGGATGGTGGATAAAGTGAACTTATATTTTAATTATGGGGGTGAGTGGGTATTGGAACCTACGTTGTCTTATACTAAGAGAGATGTGCACGTGTTGAGTGGTTATGAAGTAGACCATCTCTCTTATATTGATTTGTGTAAAGAATACACTGAAGTAATAGGATATGTTGAGGTACAACAGCTAATATTTCTTGACCCTTCTGGGAGGTATTTTTTGTTAGATGGGGATGAAGGGATTATGAAGATTCAATCCCTAATTAATGATGGTTTCACTAATGTACAATTATTTGGTATTGACCTGTTGGATGATATTGTAAATGTTCCTGTATTTACCCAGTATACATCAGTAATAGATAGTGTACCTGTTGTTGTAGCTTCTGACTGTGATAGTACTGAAGATGATACAGATATTGAAAGTGTTGATATTGATTATGATAGTGATGTCCTAGGTTTATTTGAGAGGTAGAAGAAGTGTGAGGTAACTGACAACCTTGAGAGGTATAAAACATTGGAAAAGGGTATGACTTTCAAAGATCTTACTGAAGCAAATGAGGTTATTGGTTATTATGTTGTGTCTAATAAGAGGGGCCTTAAGTTAGATAAGAGTGATAAGAGAAGACTTAGATACAAGTGTCAGATAGGGTGTCCCTTTAAATATCTTATTTCTAAGGATGGCAAAGATCAAGGGGTAAAGATAAAAACTTGGAGGGATGAATATGACTGTGGTGAAGTCTTTGAGAACAGAAGAGCTACTCCTGCTGCTTTAGCACGTTATTTTAAGAGAAAGATTCAAAATAATCCTAAGTTTAAGATTAAAGAGATGAAGGTTGATTTAGAGGATAGATTTAGTTTGAATGTGAGTGACTCAAAGTTAAAAAGGGTAAAGAGAATGTTTTAGAGAAATTGGAGGGTTCTTACTTGGATGAGTACAACAAATTGGAGGCATATGCTCAAGAGTTGAGAGAAACAAACCCTGGTACTGATGTGGTGATACAGATATCCAAAGATGCAATGGAGGAAGGTAAGAGAAGATTTCTGAGGATGTATGTCAGTTTCGAGGCCCTCAAGAGTGGATTCAAAGCAGGTTTGAGACATTTTATAGGTCTAGATAGAACATTTTTAAAAGGCAAATGCAAAGGGATGTTGTTAGTTGCTTGTTCTCAAGATTCTTGCAAGCATTTTTATCCACTAGCTTGGGCTGTAGTGGATAAGGAAACAAAGACAACTTGGCAGTGGTTCATGGAGAACTTGAAGGCTTCTTTGGACTTGAAATATGGTGAAAGCTACACATTCACGTCAGATATGCATAAGGTATGTTACCATATGCAGATTTTTACATTCAGCAGATTTTTACATTTAGCACATTCTTTGTTGATGTAGTGTTTCTTCATGTGTAGGGTATGTTAGATGCTGTGAGGAATGTATGTCCACAATCATATCATAGATATTGTGCAAGGCATATTGAAGCAAATTGGAGCAAAAAATGGAATACTGATGAGATGAAAAAGTTAATGTGATGGTGTTCTTGGAGCACATATGAGGAGGAATTTAAGGACATGTTGAAATAGTTAGGTGAAGTTTCTGAGGATGTTGTCAGGGACTTGCTGAATTATCCTCCAGTAACCTGGTGTAGAGCTTACTTTGATACCCAATGTAAGAATCCAATGGTGGACAACAACTTTACAGAGTCCTTCAACTCTTGGATTCTTGAAGCTAGACATAAGCCAATAGTGAAGATGCTTGAGGATATAAGAGTGAAGGTGAAGTTAACTACTTTGACTTACTGATTGTTTACTGATTTAATATTGTTCATTAACTACTAATTTACTACTCTTGACTAATTGCTAGTTAATTAATTTCATATTATTGATTAACTACTGATTTACTATGTTACTGATTAACTATTGAAGGTGATGAATCAACTAAAGGATAGAGTAGAAGAAGTTAACAGTTGGAGAGGTGAATACAACCCATATGCAATGGAGTTATACAATGATTATAAAGAAATGGCTTCAAAGTGCAAGGAAAATTTTAATGGAGACGGGGTTTTTGAAATAAGTGAAGGTGAAGACAGGCACACAGTGATTCTGGAGCAACAAAGGTGCACATGCAGGCTTTGGAACTTGTTTGGAATCCCTTGTGCTCATGCTATCAGGGCATTCTTATATAAGAAACAAGACCCAACACTTGGGATTCACTGGTGGTATTCCAAACAAGCCTGGCAGTTGGTGTATCAGCACAAACTGCAGCCTGTTAGAGGTAAAAGATTCTGGAAAGTTGAGCCACACCAAGCCATGGATCCAACACCACTAGCAAAGATGGTTGGTAGACCTAAAGTGAAAAGGTCAAGAGAGAAGGATGAAGCTAGGAAAAGGCAAGGACAATGGTCAACATCTAGGAAGGGTCTTCAAGTGAATTGCAGTTTTTGTGGCCAGCCAAATCATAATAAAAGAAGGTGTCCATTAGCCAACAAGGTGTTCTTTCTATCTATTGTTTATACTCACAATCTGTTTTTTTTTACTCACAAGATAACATATATATTTGATTATAATTACAGTCAAAGAAAGTGCAAGACCACACTATGACAAATGAAGACCAAGAATCAAAAAATTTTATGGTCCCTACTCCAGGTTTTAAAGCACAAGACCAACAATCCAGTCAGAACACTCAGCAGCCAACTCAGCCATCCAGTCATGACACTCAACAGCCAAGTCAGCAATCCAGTCAGACCACTCAGTAGCCAACTCATCCATCCAGTCCTAACACTCAGCAGCCAAGTCAGCAATAGTCAGGACACTGAAATACCAACTAAGCACTCCAGCCATGACATCCAGCAACCAAGTCAGCAATCCTGTCATGACACCCAGCCAACTAATATGCCAAGTCAAAGTATTCAGACGAGAAGAAGGCTTATTCAAGCAGACTTTGGTGCAGAAGTTGACCCAGTCTTGAGGCCTAAGGTTGTGTCTGATATTAAGACTAGACTTCAGCGTAGGAATCAACAAAATTCTGGCACTAGGAAGATACCATTCACAGGTGATCACACTGGTAGCTCACAACCAACAAAACTGCCATACTCCCTAAAGAAAACTACCTGGAAGGGGAAGGAAGCTGTGATGACCCAAAATGTCATATTTAATTTAAATAATTATCTCAGTATTTTTTTAAGACCTTAAAAAGCGATATCAATAATTTATCGACTTGCGCGTGCAGTCCGTATAATTTTCCGAAAGATTCTTATGTAAAAAATGGATTAAATTGTGAACTAGAGCTTTAAAAACTCAATTGAGTTGACTTCTGTCAACATTTTGAGCAAACAAACCCGGATAAAGTTATGACCATTCCGGTAGTTCCATATCATGAATTGGGACTTGGTCATATGCCCGAAAGTGAATTTGGAGGTCCCTAGATCAAATTATCGCCATTTAACGGAATCTAGAAATCTAAGGCTAAAGATTTCTTAAGTTTGACTGGAGATTTGACTTTTTGATATCGGGGTCGGAATCCAGTTCTGAAAATTTTCATAGTTTCATTACGTCATTTATGACTTGTGTACAAAATTTGAAGTAAATCGGACTTGATTTGGTAGGGTTTTGCATCGAATATAGAAGTTGGATGGTCTTAGTTTCATTAGGCTTGAATTGGGGTGTGATTCGTGGTTTTAGCATTTTTTGATGTGATTTGAGGTTTCGACTAAGTTCGTATGATGTTTTAGGACTTGTGGTATATTTTGTTGAGGTCTCGAGGGCCTCGGGTGGATTTCAGAAGATTAACGGATCAATTCGGACTTGAATTTAGCTGCTGAAATTTTCTGGGCAGCTTCTGCATTTTTCACACGTGTGAACAGTGACCACACATGCATGAACAGTATCCATATACAATATCAGTGTACAGTATCCGTAAACAGTATCCACAAACAGTATCTATGAATAGTATCCGTGAATAGTATCTGTAAACAGTATCGCTGATCAGTGCCCGTGAATAGTGCCCCGTAAACAGTAATCCGAATTCTGGACAGAACGTTTATTTCTGAAAATCCCATTTTCCATTTTTGTCAAATTGGAGCTGGGGAAGAGGCGATTTTCGGGAAATTTTCAGAGAAAATAACAGGGTAAGTGTTCTTAACTTAATTTTGGTTAGATTACCCAAATCTATTACTAGTTTCGTATTAAATCTGTGAATTTAGTTGGAAGAGTTTGAAAACTCTCTCGGATAGATTTAAGGATTTGAGGGTCGAAATGTTATCGAAATTTAATAATTTTGGTATGGTTAGACTCGTGGTTGGATGAGGTTTCATATTCTGTAATTTTTATCGGGTTTCAAGACGTGGGCCCCACAGGCGAATTTTTAGTGCAATTTCAGATTTTTAATGGAAAATGTAGAATTTCATATGGAATTAATTCCTATAATTTTTATTGACTGAATCAAATTGTTTATCACTAGATTTGAGAATTTCGGGCACGAATTCACGAGGCAAAGGCTTGTTGGATTTTTGAATTGGTTGCAAAGCGAGGTAAGTGTTTGGTCTAACCTTATCTTGAGGGATTAGGAGTTGTGTCCTATTTGCTACATGTTAATTGTGGAATACGACGTATAGGCATGGTGACGAGTATCTATACGTTGGTGTCAAGCATGCCCATGAGTCTTGTATTATAATTGTTATGACTCCGTTGTGGTTTATTGCGCTTCATATGTTATTATTACCATTGTTCCCTTGCCGGAATGTTTGTTTGATATTATTGTTCTCTTGCCGGGATGTCTATTTTGATAGTATTATTCCCTTGCCGGAATGTTGTTGAAATATCATTGTTCCCTTGTCGAGAAGTTGTTATATTGCTCTTGTTCCCTTGCCGGGATTCCTTGTGATTATTGTTGGCTTGTAACTGGGAGCGGGTGGTATGCCTACCACAAGATATAATGAAATGGGAGCGGGTGGTACGCCTACCACAACATATAATGAAATGGGAGCGGGTAGTACGCCTACCACAAGATATAATAAAATGGGAGCGGGTGGTACGCCTACTACAAGAGATACATGAAATGGGAGCAGGTGGCACGCCTGCCATGAGATATAGGAAATGGGATCGGGTTGCACGCATGCAACAAGATGTGAAAAAAAAGTGAAATCTGCCTTTGTTTTCCTTATTCTTATTAGTGGTTGGATTCTAATTCCTTTATAATTCTCTTGATATGCTGTTTTAGCTTCTTTTTTTTTATGTTCAATACTCCAAATTTCAACAATTGTTACATTTTTAGCTCAATTGATTTCTCAACTAAATTTTCCTTAAACCGCTTGACGTTGTATTTTACTTAAAAAGAAATTTCTACTATGTTTTGATTTATTGATTTCTCGTATTAAAGGTAATGATTCATTCGATATTGTACTTTAATTGAAAGGGGTATCTTCTTTATCAAATGATTTTGTAGAAATAACTTCATCTTTTCTTGTTGATTTCCTAATTAGGTTGGAAGTTGTACTCTACTTTATGTTAAGTGAATGAGGCGTCACAAGGTGACCTTTACTCAAAGAATTATATTCGAAAGATATTTATTTAAAGGAAATATATTCGAAATATATTCATTGAAAAGCATATTATCTTAGAGATTACGACTTGAAGGATTTATAGGCGAAAGATTTATATTTGAAGGATTTGATAAATTGATTTCACTTGTATCTATTATTTGTTGAGAAACATTTATGGTGTTCTTATTGCCTGCTATTTATATCACTGGTTGATCATTGTTGCCATCATTGTTATTTGCTTCATATTATTTTTGTATGATATATTGCACAGGTTTATTTGGTAGTCTGGTCTTAGCCTCGTCACTACTTCGCCGAGGTTAGGCTAGGCACTTACCAGCACATGGGGTCGGTTGTGCTGATACTACACTCTGCACTGTGTGCAGATACTGATATCGGAGTGCTTGGACCGCAGTGAGGGTGCTGTCTTCAGCCCACTCAGGTGACACGAGGTAGTCCTACAGATGTCTGCGGGCCTTGGCGTCACCTCCTATCTTTTCCTTTATCCTGTTTCCTTTACTCATTTCAGAAACAATGTTTATTTTATCTTTCAGACTTTATATGTAGTATTCTTAGACCGTCTGTGAAGCTGTGACACCAAATTCTGGGCATAGTTGTATTTAGATTTTTGCAGTTTTGTATTAAGATAAATTGTCAGATTTTGTCTTCCGCTTAATTATTTTTGCTATTTCCATGATATCTACTCATCACTGATAATGGTTTAAAACTAGAAAAGGTTAAGTAATTAGAATAATTTGGCTTGCCTAGCTTTCACCAGTAGGCGCCATCACGGCTCTCGAGGGTAGGAAAATCCTAGTCGTGATAAGTTGGTATCAGAGTTCTAGGTTACATAGGTCTCATAGTTCACAGACAAGCTTAGTAGAGTCAGAGGGATCGGTACGGAGACGTTTGTATTTATCCCTAGAGGCTACAGAGTTAAGAAAATTTTCACTTTCATTCTTCTCTGTCGTGCGATTTTGTTCTCTCAATGCTAAATTGAAACCTCTACTCTTGTCCTTTCACGAATGGCAAAGTCACGAACCGCTTCTTCAGCCAAACAACAACACAGACCGGTGATAGATCAACTACGTCTTCGGAGGCTTTGCGGAGGTTGGATAGGTTTCATCAAGCTCTTCGCTACCACTTTCAATGGTGAATCTTTTGAGGACCTATTGGATTATCTTGACCGTTGCTATAAAGTATTGCAGAACGTGAGAATAGTCAAAAGCGAGGGGGTTGATTTTGTTGTGTTTCGGATGACAAGTAGAGGTAGTGGAAAGATAATGTATTTACTAGACCAGTTGTGGTTCCGACGGAAGATGCAGATGTATCAAGAGATCACCTAATAAATTATGTAGGGGTTCAACGGACCTTGACGTCTGGCTGATTATTTGAGTTGTGAAGGTCAAATATTGTGGATTATCGGATGTTGTGACCTATGACTTAGCGCCAAATAGGGAATTCCACTATTAGTGAATGGATCGTATGGTCGTGTGTTATGTCAGTTTTGGTTTGAAATGTATATATATGGTACTGAAAGGTTCCCCAATAATTTACACATATTTAAGGCCTGGGACTTTGCAGGGGGTAAGGTTAGAACTTGTGGTATGCCTACCTCTTTAATAATCCAACACTTCAGTATCAATGGAGTTAGGGAAAGAACTTTAAATTTACAAAAATTCTACTCAGTGTGGAAGTCACGATTTCGGAATTTGGGGTACTTCGGAGGAAAATACAGTGGTTGACGACCTTCTCGACTATGTGGTTAGTGCCAAGATTTATCTGTATAGAGTTTTACCTTTGTGATTGTTGTGTATAAATAGGGGTAAGAGTTACCCCCAATGAATAATGAAGAGTATATGAATAAATGAGGTAGCTCAGTAGTGTTAAGCCAGCATAGCAAAAGAGGAAATTGGCCGCCGGTGTTTATGGCAAGCCTATGAAGAGGGCAGATCAGCCAATGCAATACCACCTACTCAACTTTGTTCTAAGAAATGTTTTTGAAGGAGTTTACCTCCTGGATTCTCTGCAATATGTGGTATATGTGATCTTAACGGTTATGTC